GCTGAAACGGGGCCAGATCTGACTTTCCTGCGTGGCCCAGGCAGGAAAATTCCTTCTGGTCGAGGGCAAACGCTTCTCTGCACCAGCTCATCTCTCCAGGACAGAAACGTCCCTGCCCTCAGCCCATGTCGGAGAAGGATGCGATGTTCCCAGGAAACACCGTGGCAGGTTTACCCCGTTCTCTCTCCATCTTGCTGATAACTGCCTGGGATTTAATTTGTCTCTGGCTAATTGGCTTTAATTGCTACACCCTGCCTGCCCCACCGTAACCAGCGTGATACGGAGATTGAGGAAGATTAACAGCCGCAGCCTGACAGCCACTGAGCTCCTCTGCCCCGTTATCGCTGCGGCCTCGGTGCCGGACACGGTGCGATGCCACAAGATGGGCAGGATGAGCCCCACATCCCCCTTTGAGGGCCAGGCACGGCTAAAGCACACGAGCACGCTTCAGCTGCATTTTTATGAGCGAACAAGGGTCCAAGTGAAGTTACCCTAAGCAAGGAGACCCCAAGTCTTTTCTCTCCGTGTCCTTCAACACCTGCAGGGAGCCAGGGCTCCCAAAAAAAGGCTGACGTCCTCCATGGGGCTGACAATTCATCCCAGCGCTACCCAAGAGGCTACAGCGCTTGGTCCCGTCTCCTTGCAGCACGGTGCCAGCACCAGCCCCCTGGGAGGCCGTACCTGCCCGCTGCTCCAGAAACCTCCCAGCTTCAGCAATCCCCAAAGGGCCTCGGCTCTTGCTAAACATCAGTGATTTTGAAGGACGCAAGCGATAAGCCGGGCTGTCGCCTCCTGCTTCTCATCTCACGTGCGTTCCCACCTCCCAGCGAGGAGGAGGAGGAGGAGGAGGATGCCAGAGGGATGGGAGCTGGCCAAGCCCCTCGGGGATGCTCGGCAAGAGGAAGGCTGGAGGGAGGCAGCGGCACGGCGTGCGTAGTGCTACCCCCCGTGTGCCGGGCTGCTGGCAGCCAGACAAGGACAGACTGTAACGAGCAAATCTCAGGATGGGAAACGGGGACTTCAGACAGCTCCCAGCCCGGCCAAATCCCCGCCGCGTGATGCTGTCGATCCGCAGGGACTCGCTGAAGGCCAAATTGCCCCCGCCCGGCCGCACAGCACGAAGGGGCAGGAGCTGCCGGGGGAACCACAGCCGCCGGGCTCAGCTTTGAGACACCGAGAAGGGCTGCTTACACGCAGAAGCATCGTTCAGAGGGGAAAGTATGGGTTTGAAGAGGAAGGGACGAGCCCACCAAGCCACAGCCTCCATCCTCGGAGCCGATGACATCCAGAGAAGAGTGGTCACAGCCTTCCTCTCCTTGTGATGCTAAAAAAGCTCACGGGGAAGCTCTCACCAGCCAAAGCTCAGCAGCAGCGG